AAAAAAGGACATGAGAGTGACTTGATCTGTGACGTCTGAGTGTATGGTATTTTACCATGCCGTTTTGTGTGTGTATGTGAGTGTGTGAATTAATCAACACAAGTGATTCACTATTCCAAGTAACCCAACCTGTTCACAGCACAGGCCAGAGAAACCAGGAGCTGTGAGGCTGTGCTCCGACAGATTTTTTTAATGTTTTTCCTTGCAAAAATGTAACAAATGGTTTGCCATTTGTATGCAGACATGTTTTGTTYATTCAGAGCCAGGAGGCATATCTCTGCATGGCAAGGGGCTCCTACTGTACCATGTGGGTTTATCTTGCAAAAGTAGGTGCTGGAAGTTTTTAGTTTCCATACCGTATCTTCAGGGGAAATATTTGCTCAGYTCCCTTCCCAGTTCTGCAGAACTAACACACAGGACAAGGCAGCAATCAGACTTTCTACTGGGTGACATCGCCATACATCAAGTGTCTTTCATCAATCAGGTCACTCAGAGGATGAAGCAATGCGACTTGTAGTGTGTCAGAACAATGAACTGAGCATCTTTTYTGGAGTGCTGACAGAAAAAGGCAATGTGAGACCAAATTGATTTGATTAGCCTMATTTTAAGGCCCATGCAATAGTGCTTGATGAACTCCAAGGCACTACAAAAATAGGCTGAAGGTGAAGTTGGTCATAGAATGCAGGGTAATGCTTCATCATATCTGTTAAAGAGGTAAGCCATCAAACCCCAAGGCCAGGCAGCTGCAATCCAAGCACCGCTGACACTCAGTTTACAAGACATTTGTGATAAGTGCTTTTGTTGTAATTAAAAAGCTGTGCAAGTCTACCCAGTTGTGTCGTACCAGTACCTTATCTCCTGTACCAAAATGAGGACAGACCTCACYTGTCAAAGACAATTAATTTAGATAGCTCTCCTCTGGACAGGAGAAGAGTTAATCAGAAATCCTCTGGTAGAATGTTTTGCTTTTGCCAGGGAAGAGTGCTAGCTGATTGTAACTTAAATCTCCTCTAGAAAGATGCAGATTTTGATCAATCTTATGACAAAACAAGCCAAATCTTTATATTTCATTTTTTTTGAAAGTTCCTCTACTCACATAGTCTCAGAACCCAGACTCCCTAGTTTCCAAATTCTGCAAGTCCTGAGGAGAGATGGGAGCTGCTAGCCCAGGGACTGAGCAGCCCTCAGAGGTCTGGTTCCTCTGTGCTACAAGAAACGGAAGGGCCTGAGGTGATTGATTAACACAGCCTACTTTAATYTGAAAACAGACAGCTTCCCCCTGTCTCCAATTCACCCCCACCCAAATTTCAAAATTCTCCAGAGGCAGGAGGTTTTTTCAAAAAAGGACAGTTAGGGATCATGTGTAGCCCAACCAATTTGGGGAAAAGGCTGGAGGCAGAAAGACGAGTGGAAAGACTCTATGCATCAGTGCCTCTGTTGCATAGGGAYTGTCTCACAGATCTTAGACAAGGTCAGGGAACCCTGAACATTGCTTAAGAAGAAGGATAATGTCTGTGTGATCCTGCAGGATATTATCCTTGGCTGGTGAATGAAGGAAGACAGGAAAAAAAGATTCTGAACATGGGAGCATCTGTCTTTTGATGCAAGTGAAAGGATGGCAMCATTTAGGTGGTCTCCTGTTCTGAAGAAAGGCAAACAGCCTGCTAGGAAAGAGGCTAAAAATAAGTGCTAAAAGAGGAATCGATGAAAAAAAAACCCCAAATCCAACCCAAAAAACCTCAGTCTTTCAGCATGAAATTAAGATGGYAAAATCAAAATTCATGAAGACTGTAAAAGTAGTAGAGTTTCTACAGAACAATAACAAATAGTCTGGGAAAAAAAAAATTAAAGGAATTAGAATTACTTATTACCAGTGTAGCTGGTATTACTGACATTGGATGGGAAGAACTGTGYAACTGAAACATTAAAATCAATGGTTATAACCTATTTTTGGAAAGATCAAGTAGAGAGATGGGGAAGAAGAGTGCTACTCTACAGTAAAAGATCCAGAGTCTGTTTTCAGGACACTGGCAGCTCAGAAGCAAATGATGTGAATGCAGTGGATCAATACTCTAACAGATAAAACACTAGATGGGATAGTAGCTGCTGTCTGCAAATCACCAAATCATAGAAGACAGCAGGATGAYTGGATGCCTTTGCACCTTCTGTAATGTGTAGGAGCAAAAAAGCTGCACAATCACGTGAGGCTGCAGCCTGCCTGACAGATGCCTGAGGTTCCATGATGCTGGTACTTCTGCTGAATTTTTGAACATCCTGTATGAACATTTCTTAAACCAAAATGGAGAACTCTCCAAGAATGAGAATTTTATGTGAGATAGCATCTCAGAAGTAATGAAAAATTATCAGAGGTAGTAGGTAAGAGAAGTAAATTARTATTAGTGGCTATGATGATAACTTGATTGCTCTTTATGGGAACAAAGAAAATGAAGCCYGCACAGTTATATGGATGGTGCAGTCTTTTTAGCAAACTGAAAATTACTGAGAAGGAGAATCAGCTATGAGAGAAAACAGGTCAATAACTGAAAAATACAAACATTTATTAGCTGAAAAAAMCAGGAAAGAAAGTTGTATGTATTTAAAAAATATCTAGTTCAAAGAGTTAATGAAAGCCTCTACTTAATTGTAAATCAATGAAATGAAAAAAAGGTTAATAACACTGAATATAGAGTAGAACTAAGGCCTTACATATATAATTCCTCCAATAAGTGTAGCCAAGTTGTAGGGAGAAATTTATGGCCAGAGAATTAAGGACAATATTTTTCAAAATCATTAGGAACCCTGACAATGGTACAGGTTCTTTATCAGATTGAAGTGGAAGATTTGTTAAGAGTAATGAAGACAAGAAAGAAGTGTTCAATAAGTATTTGTGTTCAGTACTTAAGGAAAAGACAGACAATTGATAATATTCTATGAGGATGATAAACTACAAGGCAACAAAAAAAAAGAAAGGAAAAAATTAAATGGAAGCTACTAAAGAAATACTTGCATAGGAAACTACATATAACTTGTATCCAAGTGTTGTTCAAGAGCTGACTGCAGAACCTCGATTATTATTACTGCTTTTTGCTAAGTCTTGGAACAATTGGGAAGGTTCCAGAAAGCTGGAAGAAAACGTATGTTGTGTTAATATTTAAGAAGGATAAACTTAATGACCTAGATAATTACAGTCCTGTCAGTCTGAAATTGATCTGGAGCAAAGTAATGGAATGGCTGACAGGGGACTCAATTACTAACTAATTAAAGAGGAGAAATATGCTAAATGCCAATCTAAGTGCAATATGGAAAATAGATACTGTCAAACACATTTGCTGGCTTTTTTTCCAATTGCGAGTACAAGTGAAAGACAACACTGTTGATACACTTTGATTCTATATGACATTTGATGTGGTATTCATGACATTTGAGTTAAGAAAACATGATAATACAAAATTGACACATCTCAAATTAAATGAATGGAAAACTGGTTAACTGACATTTCAAAATGGAAATTTAAATGGGAAATGATCACAGAATAGGTATAGCTTCCTGGGCATACACTAGCTCAGAATGTTATCAACCCAGAAACCTTCTAAACMCAAGGGTTTGCAGAAGACTCAATCACTATGGAAGAAACTGGTAATAAAAAGAAAATATCACTGAGACTGTTAACAAGTATTACTGGGTGATGTGGTGCAAACTAATAAAATATGRTCCAAATGTAAAGCCACGGGAGCAAAAGTTTCAGGGGTCTAGGCTGGCTATTCTAGGGGGGTTTGACAGCTCTAAGAGGGCGAATTCAACAATTAAACTATTTTTTACTTGATTATCTGGTCCTATGACAAAGAGTCAWATAAATTCATATTCACATCCCATGTCACTACTATCAAATCTGGATGTACTTCAAGAGTAATATATCCAACCATGGATATATTACTGTGTGGAAAAAGGACAAAATGAACCCATATTACCTCACGCTACTATTATGCATTCAGAGCTCACACTGTAACAGTTCTGAAGTGAACATTATGGTTTATGCAGAGAGTATGCYTAAAAAAGTAACATACAAATTCTTAACAAGCCCCTTGGCAGCATATCAAACTTGAAGGACCCTCAAAGCTGAGCATGTGAAAAGCATTTTTTCCCTTTATTTAGTCTTATCACAGAAATACTCATTTCCCTCACTGTGGTATCTGACAAAACAGCCCAGCTCGAAGTGGTATATACCAGAATCTTGCCCAAAATTAGTCAGTAACAGTTACTACATTACATACGCCAGTGCTGAAATACACCCAGAATCTCCAGTCCTTTCACAAAACCAGCTACTCTACATGTGTTTACTTCAGCACATACAGACCAAGTTAAAATTAACAGGTCCAATGTTAACCATGTTCTTAGCTGGGAACAGGGAAAYAGGAAAGTTACAGACTAAAGACTGAATGAGTTCTAGTTCCCTTTCCCCTTAGCACCATGAGGTCCACTGGGGAAGAAAAGTTATTTAAGTCCTCCTCRTACTCTTGTCAATATTGTAGCTGCAAGAGGTCTGCACCCTTCCTGAGATGGGATCTCTCCTTGAACCCTTCAAACTTACAGGGCTCTCTCAAGCATGTGCTCAATATCCACTGCTGGGGCTTTCAGTGCCTTCACCCCTGGGATTGCTRCACTCTGGCAAGGACTTACTCTTTATGAATCCAATGGACCTTTTCTACAAATCTCCACTCCTGTGTGCATTTGTGTCTGCAGTGTGTTTTAACACACAGAAATAAAATCATGAGTTATTCTAAGTGAAGGTTTTGTGGCTGAGTTTACCCAGCATTACTGAATATTTTTAAGGCAGATGCCTTAAAATGTCTTTAAAGTGTGTGCAGGTGATTTATAACACTTTTGAGAGTAGAGATCTTTGTTTCCTTGAGTTCAGTGAACTGTCAGATATTATTATAGTGGCGTATACATAAGAATAAAAGAGTTTTGCACAAAATCATGCATAAATTATGTCAGACAATTGGAAAATTGTATACATTTATTCATGTTTTAAAATWATCCAGGCACAATTTTGCAAATACATAGAAGCACATTCTCCAAATGGGAGCAAAACCTAAGTAACATATAGCAAGAAAACACATGGCAAAACATATAAAATAAGTATAAATAGTATGAAAATTTTCTAATTCTACAGTGGTACCTGCTATCAATACACTTGTCAGTATTACAAAAAGGCAACCAAAGAATACATGTAATAAATTGTGTAACATGAACTGGTAAAAAAGTTTATGTTAGCAGCATACAATAGCAACTTTCTAAAAACAGGAATGCTTGCACACTGTATATACATGCATATAGGCACACATATACAGATACAACTGGAAGGCCACAAGAACAAAATTACCCCGGGAAAATGATGAAGGGAATTTTTATGTGTCTTGCAGTATATAAAAACAATGCATGCATTAGCAAGCACCCAGCATGTTCAGGATAAAATTACATCCACGAGAAGAATCACATTAAGTCTTCATCAAACAAAGCACTTAYCATGCTGTACCTGTGCTGGGTAACTTCGTCCTACATCACACTCCTGCCTTACAGARCACATTTGGATGGTAGATTTAGGAAGAATCAGGAGCCCTTGATTCCCATGATTTGACASGAGGAATCAGATCTCAGATTTGAAAGAAAAATACCCATGCAAAGCCTGAGCTGAAAGATGGTCTTGGAGGAATCCTGCTTTCCTGTGGGACAGTCCAGTACAGTGGCCTCACTTGACGAGCTTTAGTTTGCATGATGGAGTGTTCCTGAGGATGTGTTCCAGATTCCTTCTGGACAGAAACAAAGGATGTGCTCCAATCACCAGTGGCAYTCAGCCCATGGGACCAAACTGGAGACTGTGCACACCTGTGGAGATCAGGTCCTTAGCACCAACAGTTTCAGGCTACAGATCCTATCCAGCTAAGCCAATTCTTTGCTGACACAGACACAGGCTTTGGAAACACACAGAATAAACGTAAATCAACAAGTACTATAGGCTGTATTAACCATGTAGATTAGTCTTAGTTGTTCTAACATGCCCCTACCTGATAAAAAAGGGACCTTCCCTACAGACACTCATTGTGTTTGCAGATGTGTGTGTGTGTCTGTGTATGAGGAGGGCACAGATGTTCAGCCAAAAGAGCAGTGGGCATACCATTTGTTTTTCCTTTGACCATCATCAGAAATACTATTTTTAGTTGCAGCAACATGAAAAATTCTGCAGCCATCGTAGCCAATCTTCTACAGGTTCAATTCCCATTAAAAAGATACACCTATAAATAAAAAAACTTTGGGAACATTGCCCTCCTAACCTCTTAACAACATCTGTGTCAATAAAGTAATTCCCGAGTTACACTTGGGATGTGAGATTTTCTTAGAACAGAACATAGAATTGTGATTTTGAGTGCCAGAGTAGGTTCACAGAAGCAAGCTGAACTATTTCTGATATTTCAGTGAAAAATGTCAAATGTAGTAATTATTTCTTGACTGGTTTCAACAGTTTAGTTGCTGCCAGCTGCAAATGGCACTTACAGAGCTCCAGCAAAGTGCTCTTGCCAACATATGATATGAGAGGGAGAAAAACTACTACTTCTGCWGCTTGAACTAAGTTTACACAAAACTTACATTATTTATTATAGTGGAGAATGTGTAACATGCTATCATGCATAATACATGGTAAGAACATGCATTAGTTCAAGTTTACAGTCTCCTTGGCCAATAAATTAGAATAGCATTGGCAGATGCTGACAGCTGCTTATTTTGAGGAATTCCCAGAAATAGCAGCAAGCAATRCAAAAAAAGACATGAAATCAGCTGTTTAAGACACTCATAAAACAGTGACTCTTTGTGAGTAAATCATACAAACAATTACAAAAGTCAGTGATATCTTTCCTATAATATTCCAAGAAACAGAGTTCAGCACCTGAGGTGAGACTGTGCCTCAAGCAAATCACGCTGCTGACTGGAAAGCRTGTCCTTGCTCTGACACTGCACCCCCAGGTCACATTCAGCACTTTCCTCATCCACAGAAGGGGAGGATGGGCAGACTTTGTGCAGATCACAGGCTGCATCAGTCCGAAGGAGAATTCTTCTCCAATGGGGCTGGAAAGGGTCCAAAGCTGCAGCTGGGTGTGGACCTACAAAAGCTGGGGGAGCAGGCCAGATGTGCCACACACATTATTATGGCTTCCACAGAAATCCTGTCTTTCAATGGGGAGACACCTTGTCTTTCTTCTTCAGCCCCTTATATAGGGTTTGCCTAGGAAACTCTAATCCAGAACAAACACACAAGACTTGTGCAGATCATGCTAAACAAGGTTTACAGAAAGCTTCCCCTTCCTTATGTATTTAGCTATATAYATCAAGGAATAACCAGAAAGATATAAATGAATCTGGTGGCTGGCTTCACTCCTCTATGGTTAAGTTCCATTCCTGTGCATCCTCTCAGGAAACAGAATGAGACACRTCTGTTGAAAATGAAACATTTCCTCCTCAAAGGAACTAAACAGAGTCAGGAAAAACGCCTTTTTTTAGTAAATACATGACTGTTGTACACAGTACATCACAATGCCCACAGACAGCTCCTGTGTGATGCCAGTAGAGAGGTTCACTCTTGTGGGTACCCCAAGGTTCATCATTAAACCCCAACCTTGCCTGAGCACAACCAAAGACACACTATTTCTGACGTAAGTGCAGGAAAAAAAAGACAGCAAATTTTAAGCATCAATATGTAAAGTACTTCTGATTTTCTACTAAGGACAACATCCAGTGATATTCATGAGGGATTACTTATTTCTTACTTACCTGGAATCTTCTGGTTGAGCATCTGTGCTCTGCTGCCAGCTATCTTTGTGTGGGGTCCTACTTCAGTCCAGCCCACAAGCAGGTGAATAATGAAAGACCATCAGCATCAGCCCTCCAAGAATTGGATGGGCTTCTCTTTATTAATTCTGCAAAGCATTATGTGCACATTGTACTTCCCAGACAAAACACTGCTTACCTTAGCACCCAGGAGTGCAAAKATTTTACTGGGGAGGTGCTGTATTCATGAACTTGCCAAAGCCATTTTAATTAGTTTTGAAGTGAGTCCTCAGATATTCCTAAATCAGCGARTGTTCAGATAATTTGTGTCAGGCTGACTTCTTCATCCCTGGTGCTGTTTAATGTGRAAATACTTAACAACACAGAATTTACCTCCATTTTTTCCTGTAAAGGCCATTCTTCCCYACTGCTGTTAATTCCTACTAGAGTGAGTAGGACAATTATTCTACACAGGAGCTAAAGGCATTTGAAGAAACKGAATACTTTAGTAAAGTATTTCCAGGAGAGATCAATGGGTATTCCTTGCCTAAAGCACTTTAGGGGCATTTTTTAGAGGTTGGAACACCATCTGCTCCTAAGTAGAGCTCTCCATCAGTCCTTCCCATTTACTGATGCAACTGATAGGAGCAGTCTGCAGATGGAGCCTCCCAGCCCAGATGGAAAGGGAATTTGGCTGGATATATAGAATAATTTTTTTCTTTCTGAGAAGAGGCCTTGGTAKAAGCAGAAGGATGTGATCTGGACATCTAATGTGGATGAAAAGGTTGGGATCAAGCCTGTTGTGTCAGYTGGGAAGGAAAAAACACTTTTTTAYTTTATTCAATTAATTATCCATGAATAGTAATTACCAAGTTAAAAAGAATTTTTTCTTATRAAAATTTCTGTTCCTATTTAAAACTTTCTACTGTGAAAAAAGTCAGAACTTAATGCAACCTAAAATGTGTTTATTAAACCCAAGCCATTTATGACTTTTTTTCCCTTTTTTTTCTGTAAAGTGTATTAAACCACCCTAAATTATAAAAGAAATGTTTGATGACTACTTGGTTCACTGATGGCAAAAAGAGGCCAAATTATTTTTGAGCATTCTTCTATTGGCAGCAAGGTGAAAATGCATTTTGAAAACCTCAGGTAAACTCCCTGCTTGTTTTATGCACATGAGTAGTTGATTAAAATAGGACTGCTTGGATGAATAAGAAATTAGGATATGATTACATTCAGGTAAACCATRGTAGGTTTTATCTTAAAGAATTAGTAAATGATTCGCAGCTGATGTTTTAACTGCTCTCAGAAGGTGAACCATCAAGGTCCCTTACACACATCCAAGTACTGACATCCTTTCTTCAGCACCACAGCTGATTTATAACAGATTTTGACAAAGTTTTTTTTTTTGTAGAATCATCTTTAACACAGTGGTCACAGTTCCTTACTTAGATAATAAAAATAATGTAAATACACATTAAGTTTATGCTAAAGACATGCTCATTTCAATAAGGAAACTGATGCTCATTTTTCTTTAGTATGAATGAAACCTGCTGCAATGTTTCTTAAGTGGATCTGCTCTTAGTGAAAATCCAGACAGAGAACAAGACTTTTACTTTGATCTGTGATAATTGAACTCTTAATTTGGTTCTCAATTTTGTGTAAATKTAGACGTTCTTAAAGCTGTGTTTTTCTTAGCTATCCTTTGTGATACTGTTCCATGCAGCATGCAAGCACTCTTCAAGGAGCTTCAGAATGAAGCACATATTTTACAACAGGTTTGTAGTGAATTTGCAAGTATTAATAATATTAAAAACTTTCAAAGGCTGAAAAACCACCTTGCACATGAACACAATTCCGGCGGAATCCTTATGCTCACGTGGAGAGAAACATTCTGCTTCCTGAGGACACTTCCATTCAAGTCTGTCCAGCCCAAACAATTTCCACGTGYAGTACTTTCAAAGCAGTTTTCTATTAACCCAGAAACCTTCTAAACACAAGTTCAATTGGCTGATGTTCTTCTTTTCAGCTCCTCTTCCCTCAAAGGAATGATAGGATTTCCCAGGCTGCCCTGTACAATATGTGTGGCACATTCTCCCTAGTTCTGCATGCCCTGCATTCTTCAAATCCTGCATTACAATCTTTTATTAGCTTTCCATGTATCCAGCTACCCATCTGAACTGAAAAGATGCATATGATGACAAATCGGGTTTTGCTACTACAGCTCTTCATCCAACKATGACCCTTTTCCCCCTTTTTGATTTCATCCCATGTAGTATCAGCCTACAGCTGATTTTAAACTCCAGGGACAAGAAACAGCCACTTTTAATTACTTGTATATCAAACCATTGCCTGTAGTTTGCAGCCACTTTGGGCACCTCTTCTTCAAATAATTATAAAAATAAGTTGAAAATGGGAGTATTCATCTCAACAGCTTTCAAGAAAGTCAGTCAAGAAAGGGAGTAGGAAAATATTGTTCTCCTTTCTTCAAACAGGAAGGTGAGATGAATCCATGCTAGAAGTCTGGGACAAAGCCTGTATTTGAATACAGACACTTATCCAGGATCATAAGCATGGCCCCAGCCTTTCCTGACAACGAGAATGAATACTTAGAGTACTAAAGTAAGGAGTGAGAGCTGAGCTATTTTAAAAAAGAAAATCAGACTACTGCAATTACAGTAGAATATAGAAGAGGCAATGGAGATGATACACTGTAATCACCTACCAACAGGAACAAGAAACCAAAGATCAGGAGGAGGAATACTGGTGAAGAGATTTCCTCCCCATCCTAAGAGCTAGAGCTGTTCATGAGAGAATATATATGAAATGAACATATAAAATCTAGGTTTATATATACAAATATACAATAGGAAATAGTCAGTATACAAATACTTACATGTAAAAATAGCTTTTTACTTTCCCCTTTTCATGATTTAAAAAAGCATACAAAGTTTCCTGTTGGTTAATGTCTATGTAGTGTGAGTAAACCCTGTGTGACATGTTCCACACATAATTCCTTCAAGTGTTCACAGTATTGGCTATTACAGTGTTGAATCTGACATTCCAAATGTTAAAATATATATAGGACACATTCTAAACTTAAAGCATAAGTTTAAATACAGTTTAAATAAAACTCACATGTGTAGTTGAATTATGGTCATACCACAAATGAGTCTGCTGCAGTTGAAAACTTTCCATGACAGTAAGCTTGGAAATACATATTTAAATTAGAGATGAGTATATTTTAAAATTCTTGAACTGCCTCTTGATGTGCAGGTAATTCTGTGAGATGGGGAATTCTTTCAACTTCATCTGAAGCAATGCAAGCTGAGAGAACTCAGTATTACAAATTATCCTCAGTAGGAAAGTGGATGCACAGAACAATTTGCCATCAGATCCAGACACACTGTCACTTTCTTCAAATACCCAACAGACAAGAATAAATGACAGGTACCATTGTTTTTGTGTTAAGAATAAATGATCTGTAGCATTCTTCATCAGGAAAGTGCTTTAAATTAAATTAAATTAGTCCTCACAACTCCCTTGTGAGGTAGGTAGACACTATCCTTGTTGTTAAAGATGGAGAAACTGGAGATCTAAAATAAATTATGATGGCTGCATGGGAAATACTGTCAAAATACTSTTATTTGGATGTTGGAGCAAGTCAAAGGCACAACTGGAGTAAATGGAGATATTCATGAGACCACTTTACACTCAACAGCTTGGGTACTGACAGCAGGATTGGTACAACAGCCAAAGGTTCATTGTGGGCTGCAAAACACAATCTTTGCCAAGCRCCATTCTGCTGGAGTTGAATTGTGGGACAACAGCTGCAAAAAGTACAAACTACATTGTCCCAGATGGTGCAGCCTGACCAGGGTGGAAGGAAGCTGCATTTCAAAAGTTATAAATTAATCAGGAGTCTTGAGTAGGTAGTATCTTCTCATTCAAGAGTTGGGTACAGTTCAAGAACCATGCTTAGCTCATCTCTAATTTTACCGTATATGCAAGTGCCCACAATATATCGTATATCAATATATTCAGGTGTTTTTAAAAGTTTGCTCATTCATAGACCTTGGAGGTCTACAGTTGTCCTCATATTTCTCTTGTCAAAAACTTCTACTGATACCACAAATTGAACTAGTGCTTCAGCACAGCACGTAAGCTACAAATACTTGTTTTAAGTATCTGCGATTATGGACAATTTTCAAAGGAACACCATGTCCTCTGTGCGCACCTGTATATACAGGAAATCTCATCTCTCTTTAACTGCTCCTGCCTTGAAGTAAAATCCAGTTAAAGTATAAAGTGCATAGTGTGGATTAAAACCCTAAGAAATAACAAACAATATGTCTGCCTTCCACAGATGATTAATTTTGCTTAACAACTGAACCACCACCCTCTTTGTCTTCTGGTTTTTAGTTTAGTGTTACCTAGGCTGAGAAAGGCCAGCCAGATGTAAGCAAAACTATTGTAAACTGAGGCATTTTTGTAATATGCTGTTAAGGGAGAGTTAAGTAAACCAGTATCAGGACACTGTCCAGTTGGGATGTGTAAATATTATCGTGTGTTTCTTGGCCCATTTAGCAAATACTTTCTTTTCCGTGATAAACCTATGGCCTCCATATGGAGCGTTTTCATGGAGAAAGTATTCCTCACACTCGTCTCTTCCTGGCTCGTAATAGTGGTAGGGAACTTTACGAAAGCCTTCTGACCTAGGGAAAGAAAAAGATATATTTAAGTACTATTTTCAAAAAAACACATAAATATATAACCACCTGAATACAGGATACAAGTATCCTGGCTTGGATCAGCAATAGTGTGGCCAGCAGGACCAGGGCAGTGATTGTCTCCTGCATTTGAACCTGGCGAGGCTACACCTTAAATCCTGTGCCCAGTTCTCACCACAAGACAGACCCTGAGGTGCTGCAGTGAGTCCAGAGAAGGACAATAGAGCTGGTGAAGGGTCTGGAGCAACAGTGTCATGAGGAGTGGCTGAGGGAGCTGAGGTGGCTCAGCCTGGGAAAAAAGGATGCTCAAGAGGGACCTTATCACTCTCTACAGCTGCTTGAAAGTGGGTTGTAATGAGGAGGGGGTTGGGTCTCTTCTCCCAWGTAACAAGTGACAGGACATGAAGAAATTGCCTCAAGCTGCACCATGGGAGGTTCAGATTGGATGTTTGGAAAAATTTCTTCAGTAAAAGGGTTGTCAAGCACTGGAACAGGCTGCCCTGGGAAATGGTTGACTCCCCAACTCTGGATATTTTTAAAATATGTGCAAATGTGGCACCTGAGACATGGTTTAGTGAGAACCTTGCAGTGCTGGGTTAACAACTGAACTCCATGATCTTAAAGGTCTTTTCCAACCAAAACGATTCTATGAATGATCTGAAACCCTTTCCATGTGTCAGCACTTGAACTCCTTCACTACATCACGATTTCTAGGAATTNAACCTTGCAGTGCTGGGTTAACAACTGAACTCCATGATCTTAAAGGTCTTTTCCAATCGAAACAATTCTATGAATGATCTGAAACCCTTTCCATGTGTCAGCACTTGAATTCCTTTGCTAAACTGTATAAGGGTTTTCATTACATCATGATTTCTAGGAATTTTCCTAGGGAAGAAAAGGCTCTGTGTATCTGTCAGAACACACTGACTTTATCAGTCAGAAGCTGGTGGGCTGGCCCTTATGGGCACTGGACATTTTGTTCAACCTGTGAGAACTCAGCCCACAGGGCTCCCTCCCTAAGCAGAGTCTTCTSATTGGATTATCCCTACTGTAGCAACTGGTTCTTGAACTGGCTGAACAAGGCAGTTATAAGAGTAATATCCAGTAYAAGTGGGTAATCCAGTCCGAATTACAGCTCTAAGGAAACCCATCCTTGTCTGCTGCCAACAGTGCTGTCATGCTGTTAACTGGTTTTACATCAGGGCTATGCAGTGCCAGCTTGGCTGAGCTCTCTGAGGACAACCTTAGTCCTGTCACCCTCATCTCAGGGTGCCTACTGTGTGTTTTCATAAACAAAGAACAACATATGTTCATTCTGTTCATTCCATCTGGATGACTCAATCAGTGAGATCTGCAAGTTCTAAAAAGTCAGCCGCTAATGTTAAGATATCCTAATTAAACAGCTGTGACTCAAATTCTGTCATTTGTTTGTTGAGATTTTTTAGGTTCTGCCAGSAACGAGTCTCACACTGGAGTGACACAGAATGTGAAGGGAGAATCTGCATAAAGACTTGACTYTAGGAGCTCAGGACTGGTTACATGCAGCACTTCAACCAGCTCAGGTACAGAAGAATAGATGTGTATGTACTGGCATCATACATTGTTTATTTCCTGCTTTTCTGAATGAATCAGGAATAGTTTTATTTTATATTTTTCTACCATACACAGTAGCTTAAAGTATTTAACTTCGACTTTTTAAAAATTGTGTTTAGAGTTATACTTCTGACAATAGGATTAATCCACTGTCACTGTAAGGTCACCAACAGTAGTTGGTTGGAATTTATGTCAGTTTATGGTGATAAAGCTCACAGGACTTGTTTTATTATCTAATTAGAAACCTCTACTACTCAAAACAAGCCATATATAACCTACAAAGTTCAAGCAGGTTGCTCAATGGTGGTGAAATGTAATTTCAGGTAACTATCCTGGGCTAATCAGTTTATTTCACTTCCAGGTGTATTTGGTATTCAGAAAATAATATATTCATTTTTTCCTCTATAGATTTATTTYAGCAGTGGAAGCAAGTACATTTTATCAAAAGGGTATGAGCATACTTTGTTTCCAGCTAATTCAGAAACTGCAAAAGATCTTTGATTAAAAATAGTTCCTTATGACATCTGATGTTAGATTTTGTAAATGTTTTTATTTTATCAACAGCAAATGCCATATCAGGAGTGAATATGCTGACAATAGTGTCACATCAATGCAAAATACTGGGAAATGACTGCCTGATCCATTTCTTGGATTTATATTAAAATCAATTGTGAAATTTTGACAAGTCTTCTGCATTGTAGATGCATGAAAATAATTTTCTATGATCTTACTTGCAGTAGGTGTCATTTATCATCCCATAGACRTGAATTCCATAGCAGGCATCCATAGCCAAAATTAAGGTAAACCAGCCCGTGCTGAGATATGAACCTGACTGGACTCTGTAAAAACACAACASACGCAAAACAAATTGCAATGAGAAATTATCAACACTTTATCAAAGAAACATAATCTATTGCCTGGGACAAAAGGCATTAAGCAGCTTGACAATCTGTCAAAACCATACAATTACTTTGAATTATTTATAGTTACGCTCTCATTCTTCCCAGCTTGGGGCCTCCAGCTATTGTCCACAATAAAAAAAACATGTTAAATATCTGAAGTCAAACAATGCATCTCCCATAAGACAGAAGATAATTTATTTTCACATCTGAAAGATAGCAATTAGTAGAGTTTGTAAAATGAGATAAAGTTTACCAAAATGCAAAGTATTGTCAAAATTTATGTGTGTGCATGTGGGTAGTCACCATCCTCATCTGCAAGCAAAATCTTAATCTGGAGCAGSCTATCCTCAACTTGAAAATTCACACAGTAATTAAWCTTTCAAGGATATTTTGATACAAAMCCATCKAATATAAGGTTCTGAAACCAAAATTCTGTGCATATCCCTTCACATAATTTTGTGCTATCATTCTTTGAGATAACATCGCAGAGAGAAAACCACAAGAGGATGGTGCCCAGATTGACAGTTTTTGCTCAAATAACTAGATATGTTCAATCAGCCCGAAAGCATTACCTGCACGAGTGAGAAAAATTACACATGTAAGGATTTGGCTCACAAATGACWAGTGGGAACCAAAGGCAGGGTGTCAAACACCCATGCTTCATTAGGTGGATACCAACGGTAATTGTTCTTCTTTTTTTTGACACCTGYATAGCCATGAAAGTGTACATCTGTTTATCTTCCCCATCAGGATCTTCATCTCTTCAAGCAGAATGTTCTGCTCCTGTCTAGCAGGCAGAATTCCCAATCCAATTCATGTTATTTCAGAGTAACATTCTGCCATGATAAAAGGCTGCATTGCTTCTAACTTGCTTTCTGCTCTTGCACCAGGAAAACAYTGGCCTTGAGCTTTCAAAGTGTTTTAGAATCATAATAACCATTTATAAGAACACGATGAAGATCAGGACCCTTCCGATAATGGAGGTTTATTGGAGAGCACTATATTGACAGTAGCATCTGAAATTTGCTATACTCAGGAGGAAGAAGGAATTTTAAAAAAGAATTAATCAATATTTCATGTCTTGTTTTAACACCATTGGACCTTAGTCCTCTCATCTATATACTGCACTGGCAGGATAAATAAAAACAGCACAGTGAGTTCCCAGGTACCTTCCCTGGGAGATGAAGTACATGACAGAATACAGATTATCTACTTTAAAGCAAAGCACTTACATTTATCCCATTTTTTCCTCTGAAGATACACAGGGATACAAGGGAATATACTTAAGCAGTGGGGATTCTGCATGATTTGGTAACCCCTTAGATTTCAATCTCATACCATAAACACACTTTCCAAATTCTAATGAAAGCAATATTAGAAATGTGAAAACAATTTTAGCTGTCCCTAAAAAGCCATAAATCTCTGAATACCTTTTAAAATATCATCCCATAAAACTGTAGTGCAAAGCAATGTCTCAGCCCTTGCTATTATGCTAACACTGTGCACTCAATTTCCCTCTCTACAGGAGAGTTTTACATGTTTCTTGGTCAGAGGTTTTTGAGACTCATTAGAAAAAGAGCTCCTTTTGTTACAGTAATTGCACTCAGATTTCAAATTTTACACATTGAAAAGAAAAAAAAATCTTCCATTTATGTGTAGCAGAAGGTTATGTTACTGCACAAATCTGAGAGAAGAAGAATATTAATCCCAAAATAGTGTAAACAGGACTTGGTTAAACATCATCTGTAGAACTACAGTGGGCAGATCTCTTGTGATGTATGTCTGTGCAACAACCCCAAAATTGTTTCCTATGGCTCACAGCCACTATTTTTTTTAATAGTCTAAAATTAACRGGGTACAAGACCTAGACAGGAAATTGTCTCAACAGCTCAAGGGAAAATAATGCATTATTTTTCAAAACACGCATTTTAAAAAGTGGTTTTGCTTTCAAGTAATGATTTACAGCTGAATGCAGCAATAAAAAGGCAACACTCACAAAAAGTTACTTTGTTTGTCTTAAAAATGAAAGCTTATTTTGCATACTTCCYAGTTTATTAGGATTCTTAGGGAAATGTTAGTTATTGGCTGTAATTCACTCTGTTAAATACCATCCACCATTTCAGAAAAGTACACAGACATATGTGTAACATTAAAYTCATGAAAAGACCAGTGGAATCAACTCAGTTAAAATGCTTGAAATGAAGTATATGCTTGCTTATCTTGCTCTTAGTGAAGGTTTAAGTGCTTAAAATGTCATTATTTAATCTCAGGATATAAAAGTAAGCTCCAAGATTAATAGTTACTTGAAAGTTTCAAGTCTCAAAACACAGAATTTGCATTTTTAGTAATGCCTTCCATAAACTCCAGCAAAAAGAACTGACTACAGTTTCTCACAACATGTTACAACATGTTTTTTGCTTTCTATACTTTAGAAGAAAAGGAGTTACTGATCATTTTAGAAGAAAAGACATTTTTAGGACTGCTAGAATTGTAATATGTGATACATAAAGCTTTAATTAAAAATTAGTTTAAARTAGAAGCAATTAGACAGGGCTCTTCAGCTTTAACTTTTCATTATTTCACAAAAAATAATAAGAAATTGCTATGAAAAAGATGCAACAGAGAATGSACCCTAAAAATGTTGGCAACTGAAATTCATCTTTTTTGACATCTAAAACCATGCTTTGATGTAGGCTAAATGAAGGGAAAACTAGTTCCTTCTGTCATCAGGGGCAAATGGAGGAAAGTAAAATATTTTCTTAGTGATCAAGCGCAGGTGAGTTCAAATTGGGTGAAAGTTTTGTTGTCACCTGAGTTCTGATTTTACCACAGAATTCCAGGAAGTTCTTTTCTTCATTCAATTGTTCCAGTATTTTTTATGTGTACAATCAATTTTAGCTCTATGGTTCAATGGACTGTAATTTCCAGGGGGAACTTCAGTGGTAAAAAATAAAAATGAAAAGAAGTTTGTGAAGGCRGAGAAGATGTGTTGACAAGCAATTGCACGTCAATCTGATTGCAGAAAAGAACTTAGAAGTCTATTTTTTAATTCTTTTGGGAGAAACTAGTRATCACAGAAGGTCAATTAAGAGTATTAATTAAGATAAAAACCAAGGAAATTTAGTACTTCAAAAGGCTATTAATTAACAGACAGCTTGCCAAAAGCATTAGAGACTTTTCCTTTTTGACTTAATTTCAAAATATTGCAGTAAAGTAAAATTCAGCAATGACAGAGTGAAATGACAAAATTCTCCAGGCCAATTAATTGACAGAAAAATATCTTTTCATAAAGGCTGTTTATAGAATCTAATCCTCAGATGACTCTTCTACCAAACTACTGAATCAGCAGCAGTTTTTAGTTGCAGCAGCTTGTCAATCGTCTTGATTAATAAATAAGTATAAATAAGAGTATTGGTCTAAACAAACTAAGAGTCCTATAATCCACAGAGTAGAGGCTTTTTAATGTGAGATGCCCTTCCAACAAAAAGGTTTGTTAAAATACTTCAAAATAAACAGAARTATTTTCAAAAACTATTGAATTAATTAGAATTAATTTAGACTGTGTTCAGGTAGAATTGTCTCTGGCACTTTTTTGTATCCATGGTGYATCAAGAGACCATAATCCCCTGGGAGGGGCTGAGGGTACTCTGGTTTTGCCCAGCACTCTGTCCCTTGCTCTGTGTCAGCCTCATCTGTGACAGGTCCTTGGGAAGAAGGGTAAAAGGTTCATGTCCCCTCTGCACTCCTTTGTTGAAGACAACCAGCTCTTTTTCTCCCTGGGTTTCTCTGGGTTTTTGCATTGCTGAATAATGGTGTATTTCCTTACAACTAAAAATATAGGAAATTTATCTGCCAGCACATAGTGGTGATCCATTACTTAATTCTATACTAGCCAAACTAATGCCACCATTGTACTTAGGTTGACTGCAACTTTTCTCACCCTCTTTTTTTTTTTTCCCTGCAGAAGCATCTCTGAGCACAGCTGCTGCAAAACTCTTCTGCTTTGCCAAATTAAACACCCACATTCCTGAAGTCACGGTTTTGGTCTATGCCTTCCTCTTCACATCAGAAGGAGATTTGYAAATGACAGATTGCAATGAGTTGACAGAAAAACGCACCCACCACTGAGAGAACAGCAAGGCTCTCACCTCTTCCTTGAGGAGCACGTACACTTCTCTTGCTGTGAGAAGTGTTTTTTTGAGAAGAGTAAAGGAGCTGTTTTTTTTGAGAAGAGTAAAGGAGAAGGGCAAGACTCTAAATCCTGAAGAGTATCAGCCCTAGCCTGAATTTATTTCTGTTTTCTCCAAGGCTTAGTGCTTTGTTGCTAATTATTTCATTACATACTTTCGGCAGAAAAAACAGCACAAGAAGAGCAATGAAGATGCAAGCACAGAGAATTGATTTTACSTGGTAAAAATGGTTGCTATTTCTGCATTATAAAGATATCTGTTAGGCAGCCATTTATCATAATTATTTATTCTTTTGAACGTGCATGTATGTGTGTGCACACACGTGCTTGCTTTACATTCTGTAACTGTGGAGGACATCTATTAATAAACAGCCATGCCTCTCTAGCAGACGTTGTGCTTCAGGTCCTCCTGAAAAGTGAAACATTTACACAGGCACAGATRTTTTATTATCCATCAAGTATAGTTTTATGCAAAGCTTAAACAAGTGGGATGCATTTCGGAAGCTCAGATCACATTCCAGATTCAGACAGTGACTGTGGCCAGCCAGATGTACCTGGGTATGGAGAAGTGATGCACTCCTGCCAGCCCAAACTCTTGGTGGATCATCCTAACTGAATCCTGAAAATAAACTGCAGKTGGGGGGCATACTGTTCAACTAATCACCAGAAATATTTCCTCTCTGCACCAATACCGTACCAATACAACACAGGGACAAGAGTACATTTCAGTTGAGTTTGCTACAAATCC